AGTCCAGTTTGTTCAGGTGTGCTTAGTTTTATAACTCTTTAAGAAGACATGAGGACATGCTCACAGTCCATGAGTTGAATGAACAGGACAATGAGGAATAAGTAAAGGACACTGATGTGGTTCCAGTAAGCATCGGTACCACCAGTTAGAGTGCACCATTGGTGCACAAAAACAGGAAGCTGTATGTACAAATAGAACCTGATGGAGAGATGACAGGAGCAGCTGCACTCTTTTTATTTTGTAGTTCATCATTTCTGGAGGACAAAGAGGAAGTGAAAATATTTCTGTACTTTTAATAGTTTTGATGCAGATTTGCTGTGTGACTGCAGAACAGCACAGAGACATTTAACTGAACTAGCTTAGCATTCCTGTTTCACTTGAGGGAAATAAATGAGTTTTACTCATTTCTAGTTCACTTTAAATGTCTGATTTGCATTTTCAGACCAACAAACATGAGTTCTGATAACTTTAACTGCTGACTTAAAATGTTGAGTTGAATCAATGAACAGCTGAGAGTTCACTCAACTCATTACAAATAACTTTATAGATACATAAACAGCATATAAGCAGATTTCCCAGGATCCATTATGACAGAGTTAGAACTCCTTACAGACTCTTTCTTTTCTCTAGTTGTAGAAAACAGACCATGTGAAAACTTGCTCTGTTTCCTAAATGAGGTTGTTTCTCTTCTCAACAACTGAAACCGTTCCAGCTGTGACAGATGTTCATACTGAGTTCAACCCGTAGACTCGTGGGCCTTCGTTTTATCTCACTGTCACCACACTCTAAAAGGTGGTACCGATGCTTAATGGAACCACATCAGTGTCCTTAACTTATTCCTCATTGTCCTGTTCATTCAACTCATGGACTGTGAGCATGTCCTCATGTCTCCTTAAAGAGTTATAAAACTAAGCACACCTGAACAAACTGGACTAAACCCAGAGCTCAGCAGTGCACATGTGCAGTAGAGAAGTTTCCAGAAACTTTATGGGGCAGCTGGGGCTCAGGTGGTAGAGCGGGTCAATGATCGGAAGGTTGGCAGTTCGATTCCTGTAATCTGTGTCATGGTCGTTGTGTCCTTTGGCAAGGCACTGCACCACCTGCCTGTCGTTGTGTCCTTTGGCAAGGCACTGCACCACCATGCCTGGTGTGGATGGCTTGTTCAGATGGTGGTCGGAGGGCAGGAGATTGTCCCTAAATCATTTTCAAGTGATAAATGGCCTCAAACGGTTTCAGTCACTGACAGCTGAGAAACTTAATTTGTTCAATTACAGTCAACTTAAATGTGGAACAATCAGAACTGAATAAGTCAAATACACTTAAAAATTCTAGTTTTATTAAAATGATCAAGATATTTTAAAAAAATACTTGGGATAAGAAAATTCCACTTCAGTGACCACACAATGCAGTACATGTGATTCATTTTATTAAACACAGGTAATCACAGGTAAAGCCCAACAGGAGGCAGGTTGGTCAGCGCGACTGCCCTCTGGATCATCCCTCTCTGGAAGGGTCGAGTTGAGGTGATGCTGGGCTTGTTGTCCTCATAGCAGAAGATTCCCACTGGAGAGTCCTGCCTCGTTAAGGTCCGAGAAACAAGACAGAACGAGGATATTCAGATTAACAGCAGTCGGTCTGTGTTTACGTACATTCACATGTTAGAAAAATACCAGCAGCTTCTGATCAGTTGCGCTTGAATGGAGAAAACAACTGACCTGGTTCAGACAGAAAACGGATCCGTTTTACTGCAGACACATGTCTATTGAAAGGGTCTAAACTTGTGAAAAATTGAACAATGCAGGCAGAAAAGGTGTTGTTCAAGGAGCATGGAAAGTCCAAAGGCCTTAAATTACTCTGTGAAAATGAGGAAATGATGCAAACTTCTCCTCCGATGGTCAAGCCCAGACTTGTCCTGAGTTGTGAGCCAATCAGAACAGGGCAGCAGCTGTGGCCTGTCTTAAGGTTTTAAACTTATAAAGGTGAGTGACTGTGTCAGACACTGTCCATACACTCACACTGCTGAAGTAATGCAGCACAGCTCAGACTGTTGAGCAGAGAGGCTACAGCCGCCGTCTACGGGACGGTTGGTTCAACACAGTGTCTTGTTTTCTCGAGTTTCACACATTCACAGCTCATGGGATGACTTTCAACTAATTAATTAACCAAAGTGCGGCTAACTCACATATTTTCAGGAGCAGGGGAACTTTAATGATTTACAGCGTGAGCGGATGTGAGACGGAGGAACAGAACTCACTGAACAGAGATGAAGATCTGTCAGATTCTCAGATGTGCTGACTCACACTTCATCGTGTTGTTTGTTGCTTTGATTTTACCTTTGCTTTCCCTTATCATGAAGTTATTTTCAGTAGTTTTCCAGGTAGCCTCTGTGAGAAATTCAACCTCCAGAACCAGCCGAGGCTACCGAGTCGGTGCAGTTTATCGTAGATTACACACACAGTGGGCTCTGATAACTGCTGTCCACAACTGTATGCTTTGGGTGGGACTAAAACTCGGGACCTTTCAGGCTCGAAGATTAAAGACTTTCCATCTGCCCACAGTTGTGCAACGATGGAGGATGTCATCCTCGAAACAGGAGAGTAACAGGACAAAAACAAAGAGTGAGTGAGCAGCTCCTGGGCAGAGGTCCAAACCCGCCATAAGAACCGTGTCATTACAGCAAGACTGTAGCTCAGACTCCTAACCTATTCATTCATTTTAGGGTCACTCAAGGAACAATATACGCTCACGTGTAGCTCATCTTTATTCATTTGAAGATAAGAAGTGAAAAATAAACTGTTCTGTGGTGGTTTCACTGCTCAGACTGATTAAACGTTTTAGAGGAGTTTGCGTTTTCTCTGTTTTTGTTTTTTTACTCCAAACCTTGAGCGGCATCTTTTAAGTTTTCTCTCTTCCCTCCTTTTCCTTTAAATGTATTTTTTCGTAGTGATCACACATGTTGTGGGATCTCTCACGTCGCTGTTTGTTCTTTTTCTAACAAGCTGCACTGAAAGCAAACATGACATAAGCCTGGACAATCTGCAGCGGGACTGTATTTACAGTACCGTCGCTGATAATGTCAATGCGCTCCAGTTTACACAATACGCAGCTTTTGTTCCTTTTTGCAATTTCGCATTTTCCCAGCGACCTTTAGGCATAATTAGTTTTGGTGGTCAAGGCCATGCTGAGTACAGCTTCAAGGTCATAAATGATAACTAGAAGTTATCCTACGCACAGATTTGTCTGGCGCACCTTGTCCTTCCTAACCTACAGCGGTTTATAGTATTCCTGTAAATGAATAACAAATTGGAGGAAAAAATCTTATGCTTTTTTTTAAGAAAAGTAAATTTTTATTATATATTCAAGTACAACAGTACAGTAGGAATAAATCAGACATTTATTTTAGTGTTCATACAATTGAAATGTGTCAGACAGCAAACAAAATATGTCACGAACCAATCAGGACAGTCCAACACAATTAAATAACACACAGGTGTAAAATATACCGTAACACATCAGCAGCAGCAGCAAAATAACACAAATACGGCCATAAATAGGACTTAAATAAATAACTATAGGTTTAAACACAGAGAATGAAAGTCTGAACAGGAGGAGTAACACATCATAAAGTCAAAGTGGATATTTACAGTTTTAATTCAACTAAAGCACCAATTATTTGGTATAAAAAAAAAAACTCATCCAAGGACTCACGCTGTCCTTCTGTCATCATGTAACATAGTTCAAAAATATTACCAAAACTTAGTGTGAAGTTAAAAATAAAACTAATTCAGGCACAGTGGCATTTGCTGACGATGAGGTCGTCGAACGGCGTCAGCTTCAGCTTCCCCCTGCTGTCATAGTGCATCAGCACCATGGGCTCGTAGGCGGCCGGCACGCAGCAGGGCCGCGGCGTCGCTCCACCGCTGATCTGGTGCAGCCGTGACTTGACCTGTGCATGCATGCTGGCTGGCTTGTAGTTGTGGGGGCAGGCGCCGTCGCAGAAGTGCATGGTGTACTCGGCCGGAGCCACCACCCAGTCAGTCCAGCCGATGTCTTTGAAGGACACGCTGATCGATTTCCTGCAGCACCAGCCTCGCTCGTCGCACTCGTCCTCCTTGTTGGAGCGACGGGGCCTCGACCTCTCGGCGGGTTTGGCCTGTGTGAGGCCCAGTTCTAGAGAGATGGTCGGGTTTATGTCCAGAGCGTCTCTGTTCGCCAAAACCATCCCCACGTCCACAACCAGGGGCCGACCGTCGGCCTTCATCCAGGCCTCCACCTCGGGGCTGACGTCGAGCACCACGTCCTCGGTGCTTGAGGTGTTGGTGTGGACCACTGAGTACGTGTAAATCCGGACGGTCGGCTTCCTCCTGTTGACTTTGACCTTAACCTCACTCTGAGCTGGAGCGAGCTGGTCTACGACCTGCCTGGAAATCCTTAGCTCCGCTCGAGCGAGACTCAGTTCAGTCCGTATGTTTGGGTTCTTCTGGAAAAGTGCTCGGTACCAGCGCATGTGATGACCCGACCGCGAGTGTTTCCTCCTCCAAAGCACTTTGAGAGGTTTCACTACAAAGAAAAAGAAAAATGTCAAAAGAAACACAGCTGGAGACATACTTTAGCAGACCAAAGCCAAAGTATCTGTAAAAGCCTGACAAACGGTTTTATTGCTCGTTACTGATGAGCGTCATGAGAACGTGCTCAGAGTGTAGCGCTGTGTACAAGGTGTGCCTGTCACGCTCATGGTTTCGTAAAGCTGGTAGACGTGAGCTCTACCTGAAGCGTGAACCGCTGGAACAGAGGTTATTTATAGTCTTCATGACCACACCAGAACAATAGTTTTTGTCTGCAAACCCAAACAGCGACATCTCTGAGCTGCTCGGCTGATGTTCACGTCACAGTGACCAACGTGGGCTCAGCTTTCTTCTTGTGTAACAAAAGTCTTACCTGGAAAGAGCACCGTAGACACGCTGGATGTCCAAGCTTCCTCCGCCGGCTGGCTGGAATTCCCTCTCATCTCTCTCAGCTTTTCCCTGTAGAGCTGATACATCTTCGCCAGCTCCAGCTCCGAGGCCTTTCGGGTCGGCCTGGGTTCCCTGTCCAAACCCAAAGAGCTGAGGATCCCCGACTTCACCGCCTCCAGGAGCAGGACCCTCCGGCTGTCCACCCCGTTCGCGCGAGGTGTGCCTTCCTGGGCCACGTGAGGCCGGCCTTCCCCCGAGGTGGAGACCAGGAGCAGCAGCATGCAGGAGACGGGTGGAAGGAGCAGGTGTGATCTGAGCACGGCCATCCTGCCGGTAGGTTTGGTCTGTGAGTGCTGCAGCGTTGTCCCTGTTATGAATGACATTCTTGGCATGCTTTTATTTATAGAGCCACTGTGTTTGCCACACCCCTGTAGGTCAGGTGAGTGTGTGATGGGCTCAGCTAAGGCCATGTGCAATCATGAGGCAACATTCTGTGTTTGGTGTTAACAAGACGTGACCTATAAAGTTAAAGACCTGTGACACTTATCCCAACTGAGGGTTTTCCAGGTTTAATAACCCGCCGCGGGGTGAAAAGCGACAGTAGAGACGGGAGAGACGTTAAAGAGAGGATCTGTGAATACGGTTCGGTTACGTCACAGGTACAGCTCAAGGAACTCCCAGCTTTACATCACTTAATCGGACAAATGAGCCCCAGTGAGCGGCTCTGAGGAGAGGGATGATGTAAAACTTCATTATCTCTTCCAGGGGTCTACATGCGGCAGTTCATTGATCCCTATTAGGCTGCAGCTCTGTCTCCTTGCAGCCCCAGCTCAGTACAGTCAGAGGTCAGAGCCAGCCACAGAGTGATCCAGCCGACACAGCGCTCCACGCCGGGATGTCCCATTTTCAAAACCACGACCGAGAGCCACCTAAACAGATCTATCTATTTATCTGACTGCTCCAGCTGACAGCATGTAATTAAGAACTAGGTGGAGAGAGTTTATGTCAACCATCCCTCCTTGAACCAGCCCAGAGAGGAAGCGCCTCAGGCTGAGAAGATTAAAAACAAAAGGAAGCAGAGACAGGTTCTGTTAAAAGACAGAACGTTCTTGATCTTCCATGAAAACGTCTCTCAGGCTGTTATTACAGCGGTGGCGTCATGGCACAGATGTGTGGATCTCGCCAGCGATGAAAGGACTGATGGGACAGACCAAGTTTATCAGCATTCAGAGTGAAAATCATCTGTCCTGAGGTTCACAGAGTCGGTGTGTCTGTAGCACTGACCCTGTTCTGTACTGAAACCTGACGGCTAAAGATTCCTTCTGTGTACAAATGTCAATAAAGAGCATTTATAGATTTATAGATTATAGAAGTTTAACATTCTGCCTGTCAATCAAAATGTAAGGTGGCACTAAGATGAACTAGCTGCTAATATCTACGTTATAATATGATGCTGCTATCTAGATGCTAACTGAATTACACTCAGGATGAACGTGAGGGTTTGTGACTGACCGCTAAAACAACGCTGTTTGAACTGAGGGGCTGTGAGCATCAGCTTCTTGGCTATAAAAGCCCCAAAGAATAAATATCCAAAGCTGTGGAGCAGTTGGTGTTCAGGTATGAGAGAGTGGAGGAGATGCAGCCGGTCCGGCAGCGTGTGGATGTCTGAGCGGTGAGTCAGCAGCTGATGAAACAGTCATGTGCCCTGCCAGGTGAACCTGCAAGACCTAAAGTGTGCAAAAGGTTTCAAGTGACTCATGCAAAGCAGTGCTGTTGCTTAAACTGTCACTTTCTCCCCTGTCTGTTTCTCCTTGTCGTTTTTTAATCATCGTGAGAATCGCGTGAGAGACAGACAGAGAGGGAAAAAACCCTCGTGTCATCATGACAGAGACATTTGTGAGGCGGCGGTTTCATCAGACACCAGCGCGGCGTGAGGCCTGGCGTCATGATCACCACCACAACGATAAACATGCAGCAGACACTATTTAACGTGACCTTTTCTGCTCCTCCGGGCCTATAACTGCTATCTAAATTCAGCAATTTAGGATCTGTTTCTGATTGAACTGCTCCCAACACAAGCTGTGACTCAGCTTTACAGATAAGCTTGACTTTGCATTATTGAGTCCCCAGAAGTCTGATGTCTGTCTGATAGTAGCGGCTACATGTCGCGCCAAAATTTATTTGCCTGCAGAGACTAACTTATCAGAACTAGATAAGCATAAAAACATTTAAACAAACATGGATTCTGTGTGTTAAACTTCTGCTCCTGTTCCAGCACGAGTTCAGTCACTGTTTTAGAAAACATGTTCAGCGTCACAGAACGAAGCCCAGCACAGGTAGACATACAGACGTAAGGGCTCATGGCGCCCCCTTGTGATTCTAAAGCTCCAGTACAGGATTAGGTTTGCTGCTCACAACCTCCATCCATCATCTGTACACCTGAACCCTCACTAGGGTCATGGGGGGCGGAGCATATCCCAGCTGACTCAGGGTGAAGGCAGGTTCACCTGGACAGGTAACCAGTCTATCACAGGGCTACACTTAGAGACAGACAACCAAGCACACTCACATTCACACCTACGGACAATTTACAATCACCAATTAACCTCAGCATGTTTCTGGACTGTGGGAGGAAGCCGGAGAACCCAGAGAGAACCCACGCTGCACGAGGAGAACATGGAGACTCCACGCAGAAAGATCCCGGGTGTCCTCACCGGGATGCCAACTGGCAACTTTCTAGCTGTGAGGCCACGGTGCTAACCACCGAGATACCTGCAGCCCTGAAAGTTAACATGAACCTGATGTTGAATGTAAGAGAGACCACACAGGTGAGTGTGACCTGATGCAGGTGTGTGTTCATGTGTGTAGTAATGCTGTTGTTGTTTTCCAGACATGAACTGGGTCAGCGGTGCTATCTGGAGGTTCTGGCTGTTTGTTTCTTTGGCTGCGTCTCCATTGAGAGACTCCAACGCTGTAGTCCTGACGTGCTCACCTGACTGACAAGTTTTCTCTCATGGTCAATTTAATTTGTCTTTCTGGACAAATCACAAGTTAACCATAAAAAACAGGCCAAAACTCTAAATAATATTTTTCATTTATAATAAATTGTTCTCTTCTGCCGTTTGGCTGTAAAAGTATTTGAACAACTACAAATGTTTTTACTGATATTTCCAATAATTTCGATTTAATTGTCTTTTTGGAGAAGAATTTACAAAAACAAGGCCCTTCTGGTGGAAACAGACTTTTTACAAAGTAGATTAATTCAGAATTTGAAATGTAAAGGAAGTGATTGCATAGACATTGAGAAAGCTGCAGCCAGCTGGTGTCAGTCAGTGAAATGGAGATCACCTGAGTTCAGTGAAGGTGTCTCCAGTGATGGTAAAGACACTTTTATCTGGAGGGTCCTTGAGTTCTCTGAGATATAACGACACCATGAAGACAAAAAGAACAATCCAAGAAACTCTGGAGAGGCCGTGGAACTGGAAGAAGGTTCTTTGGACTGATGAGGCCAAAGTTGGGCTTTCTGACCATCAGCTGGTGGAAACCAAACGCTGCAGCTCATCTGCAACACACTGCCATGAAGTACGGGGGTGGCAGCATCATGGCGTGGGGATGCTTCTCGGCAGCAGGCCCTGGGGCTTGTCAAGGCAGAGGGTCAAATAAACGCAGCAAAGTTTAGGAAAATCCTGAAGGACAATCTGATGCGGTCGGACCTGATTTGTTTTTCAGCGAGACGTGAAGCATACAGTCGGAACTTCACCAGCTTGATCTGAAGACACCAAACACAGCACGGTGGATGTTCTGAAGTCCAGTCACTTGTTTCACATTTTAGATTTTCATTCATTTACATTATCTTGAAGAATTCTATTTTCCTTCTGACATGAAATTTTTTTAAAATTCTTGTCTAAAAAGCCCGATTCCGGTCCAAACCTCCTTGTGGGGGAAACATACCGAGGTCCAAAGGTTCCTGTTGATCTTGTTCGATTGGTTTTCATAGAAACGCATCTCGACACAGCTTCAGAGAGAACAGTTCCCACTTTCTCTTTCAGTATGTGCTTTTTGTTTCATGCTCTTTTTTAATAGAACTCGATTAGTCCTGGGACTCAGAGCAGATGTCCTGTCCTTCACCTTCACCTTCTGACTGCAGGTAAATGAGGTTCAGAGCTGAGATACGGAGTAAAAGGAAAGAGATGTGAAAAGGCTGCAGTGAGGAGCAGAAGGAGGAGAGTTGCCTTTTCATGCCTGACTGGCTCCACTAATGAGCGAGGAGCATTTGAAGATGACCTATGCTGGATCACATGCAGAGCTCTTCAAAAGGACGCGTCCACCCTTCACAGTCTTGCCTTCTTTAGCTCCTGAGCCCCGCCGTTAGTCTGGGAACGAACAAAACCTCGTTATCTGTACACATGGGCACCGCGTGGCAGGAGTTTGGTGTCGTTCTGCTCAATTCAAACCAGAGGAATGAAGCTCAGCGACCAGGAAACCCGTCTGGTTACCTGGATGTGAAATCTGATCCTCGTTAGACGCTGATTCAGTTTTCATTCAGTCTTTGGTGATAAACTTGTTTGTTGATGGAAAAATATTCAAACAGTGAAATGATTTGAATGCAGTGGTTAGAGACAGAACGCTTTAAGGCTTCTTTGACTGTCAGCCACAAACAAACATTAGTTTCTGGAAGATGTTTTAACTCACACATAGACGATAAAATCTGCCTTTCAAACAGCTATTTAGTTAAATTATCAATTCAACACAGATTTAAAATGCTTCAACATTCTGAAATTCAACAGAATCTACTTCAAATGAAGCTTAAACTTAATTTAAACCGCAATTAACTTTGAATAAATCCTGCCCAGATGTCACCAAACACAGAATAAACATGAAAACGTGTTCTTTATGGCATTGCTTTGGTGAAGGGAACCACTTAGTCCAAAACCACCATCGAACCCTGCAGACAGAAACAGACGCATGTGGACTGTTGTTACCATAGATATGTATAATAAAAGCCTTTATTATACATGTATGATTATTACAGCATCGTCATTATTACTGCTGTTGTCTCTGCAGGACACGTTGCTCAACCCGTTCTGTGATAAATGCCTGATTTCAGCCACTGGTTCAAATAAACACAAGAGAACAAGGAAGCTTCACATCTCCGGCCAACGTAAACAAACATGTGAGCTCACAGGACCAGAGACTGGCCATCGCTGTGTTCACGGCTCCTCTGGTGACAGGCACGGATCAATCGCTGCTGCTCAGCTCGACATCCTGAAGCCAGCAGACAGACGCTGTCATCTGAAGTGATGGGGAGTAGAAGATGGACTGGTGCAGAGACAAACCGCCTGCACGTATTACAGCGTATGGAAATAAGAGCAGAGCACGTGTTCCTGGTAGTCACTTTCACAATGCAAAGGTGCACTGGAAAAAACAATGTTGGTTTTTTACAGTAATGTTTTCAAAAATAAAATGTACTGTTATTATTACAGATGTTCTGTGTTTCCTTAAATTATAGATAATTAATCACAAGTTAACCATGGAAAAAATTCTAAATAGTAAATATTTTTACATTTTTTAAAATTAGATTGAAACTATATGACATTTGGCTGTACATTTACAATATTTTACTGTATTTAAATCAGCAAAAAATCCTGTTATTTTACAGCTAGATGCCATAATTTGAAAGAAAAGCTACAGACATCGAGGATTAATTATTTTTCAATACAATTCTTTAAAATTATTATTTTCCAAAATTATCTCCGTTTTGTTAAATTACAGATAAGACCTAGTAAAATCACAAATATTATGAATTTACATGCTAAGCATAAAAAATGGGCTAAAACTGTAAATGATGTCCACATAATAAAGCTCTATTTGTATCTATTTGTAATAACTAGTTTGTTCTTGTTTTTTCCAGATATTTACTATATATATACATACACATATATTTACTGTTATTACAAACAATATACATATATGATTGGCAAATAGTTGCTTTTTTTAATGTTACTTTACACATTTTCATTGTTTTGTTAAATTACAAAATTCTGTACAATCAGAAAAATCACAGAAAGGTTTTATTTACATGCTGATTTTTAAAAGACAAAAGAAAAACAGGAGTAACCTATGCATAATGTCCACATCAACAGTCTGTATTTTGAGCAATGTAATAATAATAAAAATAACAACAACAACAATAATAATAATAATAATAATAATAACAGTAATAAATGTCCTATATTTTGTAATATTCACTTATATTTTGATAATGTGTGACTGTATAATTTCAAAAGTTTAACAAATTTAAATAAGATTTAATTTTTTTTTCTTTCTTTTTTTTTATTGAAAGAATGAGCAATGCATTTAATTATTTGTTATTTAATTTTGGGGCGGTATTTGGTGAGCAGCTGGTTATGAAGACCCTCTCTGATGACGGGACTGGGCTGGACGGGACCAGGAGGTTTATGCAGATATTTCACTGTTTCCTCTGATGGACGCTGACCTGCAGGTGACCCACAGCACAGCCAGTCATCTGACCAGCGGACATCAATAGAGGGTGTGGTCAGCGTGTTGTCACTTGATTAACTGGACCAGGTCCATGCCCTCCCTCCTGATCAGCTGATCAGCTCCATGAAGTGATCACCTTTTCGGGTCGGTCGTGCAGCTCGCTCCGTTGAGGAGGAGGAGGCGGAGGAGGTGGAGGAGCTGTTGGTGCAGCAGCAGCAGCAGCAGCAGCAGCAGCAGAGAGGAGGTCCGTCTCTGTCTCTGTGTCTGTATCTGAGAGCTCCGGGCGGCGCGCAGGGCGCAGTATGGGCTGACTGACCGGAGCCGCGCAAGGTTTCTATTGTCTCCATGATGGACGAGCCGAACATCCTGAGACGCCGCGGTCTGCAGGTAGGCGGTCGGACAGGCTGGGCTGGTGCTGGGGCTTGTTTCCAGGCTCAGATGATCGTGGTGACGGTGTGGCACCTATCCGGGTTGGCTTTGGGTGTAGCGCCTGATCCGCTCCTGATTAAAATATTTATTATCATCTCTGGTTGCTCCTGGTCATCACGTGACACCGTTTATTCTGTGTTTTGATCATTTTAGTCATGAGCATTGATCACAACAGGCGATGAGAGCTGAACTGAAGCCATTAGGGCACATAATGAAGGCTGAGGTGTGTAGATGTGATCTCTCTACTGGTGTGTTTATGGTGGAGCTGATCCTCCGGGCTTTGGACTATCTGGTTGCCTTGGTGATAGGAGCACGAAACCCAAGGGTTTCTGCAAGACTGGCACAAACATCTCTTTGATCTTCTCTTGGATGCCATGTTGGTAGTCAGGAATGTGTGAAACAGGAGCAGAATGAAGTGTTTTTATTCATGTATGTATTCACTTGCATGTCTTCCTTCATGTGTATGTTTTCTGCCTACATTGTGAAGCTGTGTTGTTTCCAGCCGGGCTCTGACATGGAGGAGGTTTCTGATGAACAGCTCACTGTCCTCAGTGGGTGTTCCTGCTCAGTCACAGTAACTGGTTTCTGTCCCACCTCACATTCACTGGATGTAGCTGAAGTGCAGCCCTGTCCTTATACTAATATGGAACGTGGAACGCTACAGAAATACCCTCGTTTAGACGTGTTTACCCACATTGTTTGACATTAATGAGTCACATTCTCCTGTAAATTGTAAATAAATAGGTGAAGGTAATTTCAGACCTTTCTGTGCTCAGCCTCTCATTTTGACTGAGTGCCACCCTGTCCTTCACTTCCTGGCAGCAAGGACAGTTTTACAGTTGCCTGAGCTCGAACACGGTCGCCACAGGCTGCTGAGGCTTCGTATCCCTGCAGTTAAACGGCTACAAGGCCACTTGTCATGCAAGAAACTAGGCAATGGAGCAGCTCACTGAAAGGAAAGCAAGTGAAAGAAAATGGAAGCATCTGATAAGCCTGAAACGCTATAAAATATACACACACACACATATATATATATATATCAGGGCTGCAGGTGTCTCGGTGGTTAGCACCGTGGCCTCACAGCTAGAAGGTTGGCATCCCGGTTAGGACACCCGGGATCTTCCTGCGTGGAGTCTCCATGTTCTCCCCGTGCAGCGTGGGTTCTCTCCTGGTTCTCCGGCTTCCTCCCACAGTCCAGAAACAAGCTGAGGTTAATTGGTGATTGTAAATTGTCTGTAGGTGTGAATGTGAGTGTGCTTGGTTGTCTGTCTCTAAGTGTAGCCCTGTGATAGACTGGTTACCTGTCCAGGTGAACCTGCCTTCACCCTGAGTCAGCTGGGATAGGCTCCGCCCCCCATGACCCTAGTGAAGATTAAGGTGTAAAGATGATAGATGGATGGATGGATGGATAGATATATCATCTGAAATTAAAGTTTTACAGCAGCTAACAAGTTGATTCATCTTAAACTTGTATTTTCGGACTAAAGCCGTCAGGATGCATCCAAAGACATCAACGTGTGAAGAAGCCCTGAAGCTAGACAATAAACATCTCGCTCCGCTCAGACGTGGCAGATATTTGCATTTCAAAGCAGCGCTATCAGAGCAAATATGGAAGATGCTTTTTCATTTTTTCAAAGGAAATATTCTCACTTCAACCTTTCCCATCTTTTCTATTCCAGAAAGAGCTGAGTCTTCCTCGCAGGGGGAATGTGTAAGTACTATCAGCTGGCTGAATCTGTGCTCTCTGTCTCTGTTTCCTTGTGCCCCCCTTTATTCTCCTCAAACCAGACCAACCAGGTTTCTGTCACTTGTCAGCTTTATTGTGCATGCATGCCAATTTCCACCCCAGTGTGTGTTTGCTCGATCCTCCCCTGAGAGTCTTCTGATGGTGCTTTCAGAGAGAGACGGAGCAGTCTCACTGCTCAGACAGGTTCGACATAAACCCAGAAAGTGAGAGCAGAGACACAGAGATGTGTTCTGCATGCAGCAAGTCCTCCCAGCATGTGGGAATCAATAATCTGTCTTCTGTTGTTGTTGCTGCTAAAAATCCTGCTTATTGTTCTGTCTGGGTCGTTTTATTTTGCCACAGCAGAGTTAATAATCCATTAGTTTAAATATTTGAGCTGAGCGAAGCCTCACAGGTAGCTGCTCAGGTGTTTGTTTTTCTGAACCTTTTTTTTCCTGCTCAGATTTCAAGAGTAATCAGTTTCATTGTCACAGCTCACGTCCAGTGTTAGTACAGAGACACGGCATGAAGGAAGTGGCTGGTGAATGTGCTGCCCTTGTCAGAGCAACACCAACACCTCTGCTGATTCCAACCTGTTCAGGGACCCCCCCCCCCGGCTTTAAACATGAGCTCACGCCAAGAGAGTCTCACCGTAGGCGAGTGAGGAAATACCAGAATCACTGCAAACAGTCGATCACGGCTGACGGATTCAGAGGTTGTTGACGAGTTGAATGCTGCTCACCTGCAGCTGCTATCATGTGAGATGCTGAATCAGGAGCCGTGTGTTTGTGCTTCTCTCTGGACACCTCTTGTGTTTTAAGCTTTATGAGGGTTGTATTAACTCATCATGGGGTAAAAAAGAAAAGAGCTGTGGGCCTCTGCCATGTTTTAATTAGGCAAATGAAAATAATTAGGCACCATGTAAATCCCGACACAGTTAGGAAAGACAAAAAAGACATTCACACCCATATCTACTTGTAATGATAGAACCACAAACCAACTGCCGGTGAATCTGGGACTTCGGGGTGCCCTGGAGCTGTGGGGCTGCAGAGCTGCTGCCAGCGTAGCAGCCTGGAATCATCGAGCTGCAACTGAACGCTAAACACAACGTGTGAAGGTTTCTACACGGCATAGCTTCGGAATCGGATCATTTCAGTTTCATCACAAATAACGTCTTGGTTTTAAAGTTTAAGGACACAGATGGAGCTCACGAGACCACGCTGTGGAATCTGTTAACACAAGCACCTCCTTCTTCTCTGATGACAAAAAAGCCGCTTTCAAGAAAGTAATTAGATTACCACGAACCAACTAGGAAGGAATGTAGGACTTTTGGGTGCCCTGAAGTACCCGTGGCCTCGGGGAGGTTACTCCTTTCGTTCAGTTTGTGGTCCAACATTGGAGCCAAAGGAATGCTTAAATAGACCATGCAAACGTTATCAGATGCTCTATAGTGTGCATTTGAATATGGTAATTTCAGTTTTTATCACATTTAATAGCTCAGTTGGAAGATAATTAGAACTCATTGGACTATGTGCTGGTCAGAAATCTACAAAAAATACACGAGGTTCTCCATATCCCCTGATGATAAACATGCTATTAACTTTTCAGACAGATAATTAAATGACTATGAACCAACTGGCAGTGATTTTAGGACTTCTGGGTGCCCTGAAGGCCTCCACCCTCGGAGCCTAGAGCTACTGTGTTGTTCCTTAAATACACCATGAAAAGGTTATTTTATCCCGTTTCTGAATCTTAATGTCTTCGTTAGCTTAAACTAATGAGATCATATTTTGAACAGTCCTTGAAATCCACTAAAATCACGTGAGAGTCTGTATGTTCTCTGGTGACTAAAATGCCGCTTTCAAGACTGTGGGACGCTCAGGGAACGACCCAGAAATGTCACGTGTGCAAGTTTTACCTTTATTGTTTTACGGCATATTAAGGATTAGGCGTGTCAGTGAAATTCATCTCTGACAATACGGGGTTTTTTTTCGCCGTGCGGTTGGTATTTGCGCGGTGACGTTGTTGAATCCGGTTTTTCCGACAGCACCTGAAAGCACCGCTAGTCCCACCTCTCGCTGGCGCGCGCTGATGCGGCTGCGCGGTGCGGCGGACGGTTGCTGTGGCTGGAAAGTTTCTATCACTCTTTATGTTTTGACGAAGATAGCGCTCGATAATGTCGCATCCTGGGGGAGACGCACCGTTCGGCGCACACTGCCGGTGAAAGCGGACGGGAAACGGGGCGGGCATGGCCGTGGAAGTCGCTCAGTACATCCAAGCTGCCCTGCGAGGCTCTGGGGTCAGTTTGTACCGGAGCTGAATGGAGTTTGTGCCGTTGGACGCGGCGGCCCTGCCTAATCGCCGCCGATAGCAGCTCATCCCCGGAGAGACTGTTGACCATGAAGCTGTAGCGACAGGAGGCTTGTTCTCACATCTGGATCGGCTCCATCGGTCCCCGCCAACATGTCGGACCAAAACTACTACTGGACCGTGTTGCCGAGCTACAAAACTAGTTTCGTGACCGGGGCCATGATGAAAAGATCGAAAAGGTAACGACAGCCAGCGGTCGTCAGGGCAGCTAGCGGGCTGCTGCTAAGGCTCTCGGCTAAGCTGCAGCACAGCGGCTGCCCTGCTGGTTGTCATCAGCTGTGGCGTTCACTGTCCGACAAATAGCAATTTGTTGAACGTTTATGTTGAGCTATTCGGTACGTAAACGCAGCCCCCCCCCCCGGCGTTCCGAGCCAGCAGCTCGGATTGATAAAGCCCCGTCTGGGCCGCCGACAGCACGTTACTGTATGTGTCGGTTCCATCCGCCCTAGTTTTTGTTTCCGACAGAGAAACGTGGCCATTGTAGACTGTTGTGTGTGTGTGGGCAGGCTGCATTGTCTGCTGCCAGCTGTCGCATACAGCGACACCAGGTGATCGATACCGTGATGCGGTTCGTGGGACCGCGGTGCCGTCTACGTGCCCTTATCTGTGAGGGTAGATTCAATCAGCCCTTGATGCCTCAGTGTGTCTGTGGCAGTCAGGGAGCTCACAGTGGTCTGATCATAGATGATCTGCTTTAATCCCAGTGTTGCTGTGATGAGTCGTTGTGTTGCTGTGACCCACTGCTGGCTTCCAGCAGCACAAACTGCAACATCACTGCCTGTGAGTCAAGTCCTGGAATAAAGCTTGCATCTTTCATTTCAGTGCAATATGCAGGAGTTTTCCAGATCACCACAGCCTGCCAGTGATTATCTGTGGAATGCCAGACCTTCCACTTCTTCCTTGTAGCTGGGATCATGCCTCATCCATGTCACCGATTCACCACAGTGTGATTTAGGAGGACGTCACCACCATCAGCAGATGTATGAAGCATGCTGGCCTGCATCTCAGTGGCCTATATCCATGCTGTTCCATTGCTGCCCGACCCCTACAAACCACTATTGTTAGTCCTAAATATGAGCAGCCTTATCACTGTTGATAGCGCTGTCACGTGGTAATGGGCTGATACAGGGAGGCTTTCATGCCAGTGTTCTGTCCAGGCTCCATCGCCAGAAAAGAGTGTTTGTTCGTTTATTTACTGATAAGAATAGAATGGTGTTCACTCCCAGTGTTTGGGTGATTGGATCAGTGTTGTAGACGTTTTGAAGCCAAAGTCGTGCCCTCATTGGCTCCCCGCTCCTCTGTCGCTGTGCATCTCCGCCACGTTGAGCCGTTTTGGGTTGGGGGCCGTATAGTCTGCGACTCTGCCTCAGCACCGACCCAGAAATGTCAGCCGCTGTTGTCGTCTCAGCCCCTCAATTATTTTAGGCCACCGCCAGAGAGAAAGAGAGACAGCATCGACATCACCAGGATGAGAGCACGATGGGATTACACCAGATTCATAGCACAACACAACAAACCAACTGAAAAGGAGCCAAAATTGTAATCTGAACGTAGACGCCTGTGAACATGGAGTCAGCGCAGAGCGTGCAGAAACCTGTGCACACAAACATGCAGGAAGTGGACAAAATAACATTTGAACTTTGAGGCAACAGCATTATAAATACACTGAAGTCTATGTGGGTCAGTGGTGCTCAGAGACGTGCCGCTCGTGTTTATCAGTCACCGCTCTGTGTTTGCCTTTTCTATGGAGGGGTTGTCCTGAAAGGAGCTCTGAAGAAAGAATTAGGTGATCTTGCATCGGTCGAAAAAGCTGCACAATAACAACTTTATTCTCGACAGAAATAAGCCAAACTGGGGAAAATTATTTAATGACAAAACAACTCTAGTTGCAGCTTTTATCAAAACAACAGGAGCTGGCTGCAGCAGGACCGACTCAACACCTCACAATGTGCACCAGTGATGCACAACATGAGCTTGAAAAACTTATCATTATTACAAAGGGGCTATTTTTATAGAAAAAAACGTATTCAAAATTGCATTAACTGCTGATCCTCTCAGCAAGCGACCGAAGAACAACCTGATTTTCTGACTTGCAGATCAGCTTGTGTTGTTAGAATAAAGATCGCTTTCATCCAACATGATGCATATATAACGGCGTGGATGGTATGTTATGGCCCGCTCACTTATGTCACCATTCCACCTATTTGTCTTCATGGTTGTATAACAGCCGACCAGGGAGGTTTTATGGAATTAGGTGCTCCCAACGGTGAGAGCACGTCCAGATGTTTCCCATATTCTCACATGGAAACACTTCCAGACGCACCACATGTCATTGGATCATCACTCAGACTTCATGTCATGCTTCAGATACTTCTAGAGGATCCGAATGTTTTAATCAGTGCAGACACATGATCAGAAATCAGTGCACGAGTGTGTTTATGTATTTATGCATATACATGTTTGTAGCTACGCATTTATGTGTAAACGTTATTATCAGCATCTTGACTTTTGCTCATGACAGCAGTTCATAGGTTCAGCTGTTGCTGCGCTGATATGACTGCTCAGTACCATGTTCCTGGGTGATGATGTTTAGAGCAGTACAAGCTAATGTTGAGTCTCCGCTGTTTGTTTCCATCCTCTCACAGTTCCCGTAACAACAAGAGAAGGAGTTTGGCGGTTGGGACCCCGTCGCCCACGCTGTCACGACCGCTCTCACCTCTCCCGCTCGCCACAGGTACTTGTGTGCTGTTTTTCATGTTTGCCTGGCTCAGTGTGTGGTTTGGCAATTAGACTGGAGGCTAATTAAGTATAATGCATGAAGGCAGGATCACACGTCAGGCAGACGAGTCGCTGAAGTTGGAATGATGAGGTGACAGGGTTCATCAGGGGCAGGAGGCAGGATGAGCTGGTGCTGTGGATGTGTTTGTTCTGGTGCTGTATGTCACAAGACCGTCTCCCTTTGGTATTTATCATGTTTTTAATGCTGTCGGACTATAATGTGGCCACAGTATAGTGCAGAACATGAGATATGTTTTTCATGTTGCTCCCTCTGGGCTCTCATTCCTTGTTCCAGCTCCCTGATTAGCTGTGTGAGGATGCATTCAATCCCTGTTCTCATTTCTTTTAAAATATCAGGGCGTGGCCGTGATTTGCCCTCAGTGACTGGCATAAAGTCCTGCAGAGAGTATATGGTGCGTGTGCGTGCATGTGTGATCAGCGAGCGGACTCCCTGCTGTCTGCTGACACAGAGCTTCTTTGATCAAGCAGTGAGGAGGCCTAGTTAACGTCGCTCCAATTAAAAGTTTTGATTGTTTCAGGTTGAACTGTGAAGCTGCTAAATTGATTACGTGATCGTCGCATACATTTCACACTCGCTTTGTGAAACCAAGAGGCCAGCCCGTGCAGTCATTCAGCACATCAGTAGTCATGCCCATAGTTTCTTTCAGCTTCAACCCATTTTCAGATGTGTAATGGATTTTTCTTTCTTCAGCTGGCAGCAGCCCTTCGGAAAGCCCCAGAAATGTCTCTGCCAGCACCTCCGCCAACTTCCAGTTTGCTCGCAGGTAAGAAATAATTCACATGCTTCTTAGTGCAGTAGTGTTTTCCATAATACTTAAACAGGAAAATCAGTGATCTAAAGTCAGAATGACTAAAACAGTAGATTTAATGCACATTTAGCAAAGCTGTGAGTTGATGAAGCTCCAGACAGCTATAGAACGTTGTCTGTCCGTGGTCCTTCACATGCTGGTCACCAGAAGCCTGCAGTCACACTTTGAGTTAAATATAACTGGTTTCATTGGGAGCTTTTCCTTGGCAGGGTTATTGCCTGACGAAGCCTAAAGCAACTCACACCAACTTCCACACGGCACCAAAATTGTTCACTTATTTTAAACCATAGCCTCAAAATCACCAAAATAACCCCAGAGCTGTTCTCATGGTGGAAACGGAGTGCATGAATAATGAACATGCCCCGGCTTATTCACTCTGCTCCTGGAAATGAGGCAACGGAGAAGCAAGCCCGACCAGCTGAAAGGCCCCAGGGCCACTTGCTGGACATGGGTCTTGGCATTTGTCAGGCCAATTAAGGAGGCAAGTCGGTGCACACACTCATTACCGAGTGCTGCTGTGATTATGGGGGAAACCGGCAGAGCTTGCCCTCTCATCACGCGTCCTGCGACTGTTTATAGACTCACTGGGATTGAGAGGAACGCTCGCTGGAGCTGGCATCCGTGTCCAGAAAACAGTGTCTTATGACTTGCTTGTAGGAGACTTTAGCAGAACAGCAGCGTACACACTTGGATGTAAACAACAGGAGAATGTGCTGCCTCCGTCTCCCTGAGTGTACCTCAGATGTATAACGCTGTGTGATGTGTTGCAGTGCAGTATGACATATTGCACCATGAGCTCAGGGGCAGCGAGGGAAGGCTCCTTATAGAAATGCCTTGTAGGACTCATCTAAATTTATTCAGACGTTTTAGCTGCCAATGTGTAGAGAGTTGCTGTGACTGCACTTTCGACAGCTCCACTGGGTTTATTTGTTATTCACATGAGGTGTATAGCCCTGTGGTCTGTGCAGCTATTCTGTCATATGAACAGAGTAGCAGCCAGATGGGCAAGAGCTAGCATTAGCACAAAGAATAAGGAGTTCTCTTTAAATTCAGAGGAAGGGATAACATGATGAGGAACCATCTCAAGGATTGTAATCACCATTGAAGAGGCTTTTTTAACCTGCGGGCTGTGAGGACTGCCAACAGCCTATTCTGTTTGTATTTTTGTAACCCAGGCATTGATTCTAACATTGATTTAAAACCTTGTTTTTAATGTTGGCCCGGCCCCCTTACAAGGCGTACAGGACCTGAATACAATACTCTGGTATCAGCAGGAAGGCCTTTATTAACACATAGTGGATGTCACACATGAACCAGATGAGAAGAAACACTAATCCTCAGATCTCACAGCAGAACCACCCAATCGCACCGTGACACCTCTGATTTAGCTGCACGTCCCCATGAGCTGGTATCTGCAAGGAAACATTTGACCATCTTTGTCACTACGGATTGAATCAGTGAAGGAAACTGGGCCACGTCCTCAGAGTGCCGTATTGGATCGAAGGGAAGGGAGTGGGGGGCGATGGCGATAAAGACAGAACAAGTGGACGTGTTTCACATGGAGGGGGAGGTTGTGTGTGTAGCAGCGCCCTGGGTGTTTAATGCAGTGTTTATGAGCGTAGGCCTATTGTGTGTCTCTGTGTTGGCATAATGAGACATGAGCTAAGTGTCTGTAGGTCTCGGTGCTGCAGTACGATAGCAGCTTGGCAGGTGTTCAGAACCAGCAGCAGCAGACAGCCAGTGGCGGCGAGTTCTGACAGACTAACAGGACGGTGACACTGACAGCCAGACGTACTCTGTCACTATCATTAAACGCTGTTTATTTTCTTTCTCACGTCGTGTCTCCGCCCGCCCCTCATTCTCTTTTTATCTCTCTCCTCCATTTATGTCTTCTTCTTTCTGCCTCTGTGCAGCCAACTGGCCCGCAGTGAAAGGTAAGAAACGACAGCCCGCTGGATCTTCCTCAGAACACAGACTCAGCATCATGATGCTGTCTGCTGGCCTTTACACTTGCATGGAACAATGTCGAACTGAGATGTGAAGATTTAGAAAGCCATACTTTGAAGTTTGGAGTTTGTCAACAGGATGTGTGGGCTTCATGTGAGCGAGCACTGAGCAGCCGTTTACTGTTTTGTCTCAGCAGAGCGGATGGGCGAAGATGGTCCGTGGCGTCTGTCCCGTCGTCTGGATACTGCACCAATGCACCCAGTTCATCAGTATCTGTAAGCTGAGCTCCAGTCTGTCTGTCTGTCTGTCTGTCTGTCTCCTCTTTCCCTCAGCACATATCGAGCCTCTTTCCAAAGCGCTGCCATGGGAGTGTTTAGCTCACCATGTTGCTCGCACTCATTGTTTCAGTGGGTTTACAGTGCTGTGGTGTCTAGTAAACTTCTGCTGCTGACACACTCAACTGTAAATGCCATCAATTACACACACCAAGAAATAAATCTTCCTATAAATGCTTGTTGATGGACAGCGGAGCCCATTTATAGGCTCTTTATAAAACCGCTCTGCATATGGACCATGTTTTCGATGAACTGTGGAAATGTGTACGTGCTTCTAAAGACCAGTGTCTTGAGCAAAGGGATTCAGTTTGTTGTGTAATATGTTAAAGTGACATGTAGTCCAGCATCTATCTAGGAATCTGAAACGCTCGTCCCCTGTAGACTTGGAAAAGGGCTGTAAAGGGTTTGCAGTGGAGAATGCTCCAACATGTGCAGATCAATGACCGTCGGCAGCTGGTCACACACCGGATGGTGTCATGTGTGCCGATTGAGACGGAAAGGTTAGTTGTCACATGCACAACTAGTACGTGCATGTGAGACATAGCGTGGCATCGTCAGTGAAGCTTCAGAGGCAGCCTGAATTAATAGAACCAGACAGGAAATCAGCCAGATTGATGTATTGACTGATATGGGCTTTCTGTACATACAGCGTTAGCTCGTACTCTGTACATCAGAGAGCACTGGCAGGCTCCAGTCACTACCTAGTCTGCCTATAATTAAAGGTATGTATCACAGGGATCTGTTTGAAGATTAGCTGTTGTTCAGCTAAACTTATCAGCCAACATATTGCATTTTTATTTTTCCTGTGTATAGAAGTCAGTCATGATTCAGCAGCACTTTAAATTACACAGAAGATGATTAAACTGGGCTGCAGGGTGGCGCAGTTGGTAGCACTGTTGCCTCGCAGCAAGAAGGTTGCCGGTTCGCGTCCCGGTAGGGGCCCCGGAATCTTTCTGCGTGGAGTTTGCATGTTCTCCCCGTGCAGCGTGGGTTCTCTCCGGGTTCTCCGACTTCCTCCCACACAGTCCAAAAACATGTTGAGGTTAATTGGTGATTCTAAATTGTCCATAGGTGTGAATGTGAGTGTGCTTGGTTGTCTGTCTCTAAGTGTGGCCCTGTGATAGACTGGCGACCTGTCCAGGGTGTCCCCTGCCTTCGCCCTAAGTCGGCTGGGATAGGCTCCAGCCCCCCCGCGACCCTAGTGAGGATTAAGCGGTGTATGGATAATGGATGGATGGATGGATGATTAAACTGTAAGAGCCATTTAAAACATCTTTTTATTATTTTCCCTCCTTAAAGCCGTGTCCCCGGTGGAATCATTTGACATGAAACTGTCCCACCATACTTTCTTTTCTTGGTGCAGAAACAAGCGGCTAACTTTTCCACAGGAAGTGATTGTTTTTGAATTCAGTTTCACACAGACCATCACTTCACACTCCCCCTGTGGCTCCGTAGACCACATGAAGTGAGCTGCCATGACGGTTTGTCATACTGTACACATCATTTGTTTTGTTAATACAGTAAAGACCATCTTAAAAGTGGCTGGAAACCTTCACAGCGTCTCTGCGCCGCTACATGACAGTCTGGGCAGCAGTTGGTTTATACAGAGCAGCTGACTGGAGATGGAAGTTGGCACACTTCACTGACTCAGACAGCCGTAACAGGATAAGTCCAGCGATGATGCATCTCTGTATCATCAACCTTGGGGCATGTTTTCCACGTCAGAGAGGAAATGGGAATCAATCCCCAGACGCCTTTTCTTGAGTTTTACTGGGATTATATAAACAGCAGTCGATCTGAACAAAGATGGAGAGTTTTCGAGCTACAGTTGGAATACACTGGGTATGGGGTGTTGTTCTGTGTGAATTCAACAATAAACTTTGGCAAAAATGTGACCTTCATAATACAATACATGACTTTATTCCAGAGTGGTGTGAGCTGCTCTGTGTGTCCCCTCCTGAGTGGGGGAAAGTACAGCAATAATAAGGCTAATCACTGGAATAACACAGGTCCTGTTGAAATTCCCTGCTTCATTTTCCTGGATGACATCACACATGAGTCGGGACTCTACAGCGGTTCACATTTCTTTACTCAGCTTTTCCTTTTGGGAGAACGTCAGATAGGGCTAGCACACGTTGCTGCCCAGCTACACCCATCAGCTCATTGTTGAGGGTTTCTATGGCGATTATCTGAAGGTTTTTTTGTCTTGAAAGCCATTACTGAAACTGCAGTTGGTTGTAAAAAAACAACAACAATACCCGGCTCCTGTGTCACGGCTGTAATGTTGTACGGCCAACCACATGGCTGGGAGATGGTGAGGTCAGTCCTCCAGCACAATGGCCCTTTCAGGCCTGCTGTCAGTGAGGGCTTTATGCAGCTCTGCTCGCTTCTGACACGGCTCTGGTTTCCTCCTCAGGGTATCTTTCACCCCTTCTTTCTCCTCTTTCCTACTCCGTCGCTCCGTGTCCTGTTTTCCGCTCTCCTTTCTGTTCGACTCGTCTCTTTCCTCTCAGTCTCGTGAGCACATCTTCTCGAGGTCTCGGCCAGATGGGAGTTCTCATAAATTCCAGTCCGTGTGTCACATATTTTGCCTCAGAAAGAGAAAACGAATGCGTGCAGGGCCAACGCAGCAGTGAATCCTGCCCAGCTCGAGGCAAGACGGGAAGAAGAAAAAGCTGCTGGAAGCTGCTTCAGGGCAGCAGGCCGCTAAAGTTCAGTGTTTTTTTTTAAAAAGTAGGAAGGGATTCAGGATGTTTTACTTTACTGCAGCCTTCTCAGCATGTCCTTGTTAAGTGTTCATCTAATTCAGATCTATAGTGGGACATGGAAGCCTTTAAGTCTGTGAGTATTAACAGGATAATGAGTGAATGTGAGAGAGCGGCGGTGTGACTCTTATCAGAGGAAGCCTTTTAACACAGGATGTTATATCATCAAAGCTGTAGAACCACAACCTCACATACGTTCACACCCAGCTCAAAGCAGACAGCTGATTGGTTTTATTTCACATTTACTATATTAACTAGATCACACCTTGTTCTTTTTCACCGTCTGCTCCTCTCTTTCTTACACATCCCATTTCTGTTTGTCTCGTCTTTCCCTTCCAGTCTTCTTCTTCCCAAGAGTTATTGCACCAGTTGCCCTTCCAGCCCACGCAAGATGATCTCCACTTCCTCTTCAAACATTTCCGGAGCACGGAGAGCGTTGCGGACGAAGATGGCTCCCACCCCTCGCCCCCCGTCAGGCTTCGTTCACGCAGTCTCAGGTAACTGGAGTCGTACAATAGCTGTGCTGAGCAAATACATGGGACTGTTTCAGTTACACAAACATTTCTGTAGAATTGCACTGCCCTGGGAGAATAGATGCTGCCCTCGTATTAACTGGATTAGAACGGGTGGAACCCAACAGCTACACCCGTCCTGGCTTCAGTCCAATAAAAACACAACCACGTTATTATGAATCAGTGTGTGTACTGTCACTCAGCACCACTAACAGATATATGCACAATAAATGTGTCAAAAAACACTTATGCACAAAAAGAATCCCTCTCATATATGTCAACTAAAAATATCTAAAAGTGCACACAAGAAATGCTGCACATAAAAACCTCCTTGAACATCTGAGTAACCTGATAGCAGAGATCAGAAAGGTAGAATTAACTTGTTGAAATGTGTTGAAGTCAGTGTTACTTGCTCATTGATTTCCATAAAAATCCCTATGGGCTGCAGGTGTCTCGGTGGTTAGCACCGTCACCTCACAGCTGGAAGGTCGCCGGTTGGCGTCCCGGTGAGGACACCCGGGAT